TAGAAGAAGAATCTTTTATTCAAAAGGGGTAGGCTCACCCTCACCAAGAGTACTCTATCAAACCTACCAATAGATTATTTGTCTCTATTAACCATACCTGTCAAAGTTGCCAAGAGACTGGAGACAATTTATAACTGTTTCTTATGGGCAGATATAGAGGATTGTAGGAAATATCACGTACTGAAATGGAGTGAGGTGAAGCTTCCTTTTGAGAAGGGGGATTGGAGGTGAAATCTTTTGTTGAGATGAATCTTAGTGGATTTGGAGGTACATGAGCAATGAGAATCTCTCATGGAAGAAGGTGGTTGATGCTCGATGGGGTCAAGGTGACGAGGGTTGTTTCATATTGAGTTGGGGAGGTCATATGGGATAAAGTCTTTGGAAGAATATTTGGGCTAGGAAACAACTCGCTCGTGATTGTGTTGACTGGAAAGTGGGTAGAGGGAACAAAGTTCTTTTTTGGCATGATTGTTGGTTGGGGGAGGAGCACGTAAAGGACCGATTCCTACAGATTTATGCAATTGCTCAGTGGAAGAATATGAGGGTGATTGATGCAGTTGGGAGGTTTACTCTAGCAAGGAATGGTCGATTACTGTGACAAGAAATTTGAATGACTAGGAAGTGGAGGAATACGAGGGTTTATTACATCTCCTAACCCATGCTCATCTGAATCCAAGAAGCGACCAACTGGTTTGAACAAGAATGGCTCCCCCATGGTGAGATTGCTTTATAAGTTTCTAGCTACTGAGGGGATGCACTGACCAACCTGTAAGTTTCTAACCACAGTGGGGACCTTGGGGTCATTGTAGAAATACTGATCGACCTGTAAATTTTTTCTATATAGGCGGTACCCCCATGGTACCTTTACTTAATATACTTTTTACTTTTTATCTCAAAAAAAAACTACTAGAGGGAATACAGGGGGGGCAGATTGTCCCAACCAAGTATGTTTGGAAAACAAATGTTTCACCTAGAATTACGTTCTTTGCTTGGGAAGTTGGAAGATAATGTATTTTAACCATTGATAAGTTGATGAGGGGAGGTAGAGTTGATAAGTTGATGAGGGGAGGTAGAGTTGAGGTCAACAGATGCTATTTATGTAAGTAAACTATGGAAACATGCAATCACTTCTTTGGCGTCCAGTGATCTATAGCTTGTGATGTATGGTTTATTGTTAACTCAAAATTCCTTGAGTTATTGTGGGGTCAGTCCAGGATGAGTTATGGGTTTGAGGAGACTTATGTAAAAAGAAAAAATTTACTAAAATCATTCATTTGACCTTAGTTTGGGTCATTTAGAAAGAAAGAAATAGTAAAGCTTTTGAGGGAGTAGAAAATAATATCCATAAATTAAGGCATAGATAGTTTTGCTATTTTGGGTATAGCTTGTTGGGTCATGATTTACATAGGGTGGAGGATTTTGGGTATATAATTGATATAATGACTAACTTGTAAAATATTTTACAAATGGGTGGTACCCCCTTGATATCTTGATTTTTTAATACTTTTGCTACAGTTACATTCAAAAAATAAAAGTCAGGTAAAGATAAGATCATTTGAATAAGCGGAGATAAAACCAGTTCTTTTTTTTTCTTTGAAATAAGGTAGAGATAAGCCCATTTCAATAAACACAACATGATGTTTTCATAGTACATATCCTTATCTAAATAATAATCTCATCGAGACAAACAAGACAAAAAGATTGGGTCGTGTTTTCACCTTCACAGCTTCAATTATATCCTTGTCGGCATCCTTGACATAGCAACTACTAAAGTCAGTAATTTTCCCAGTAAATAAGCCATCATCATCCACTGCTACAATCAGATTTTCGCCCTGTATGAAAAAAATAAATGAGACAAAGCAACTTTGTAATGATAAACATACAAGTTTTCTGGAGAGCTCCAAATATATGCATAGAACAGCAGCGATAACATATTTCCATAGAATACAAAGTACTATTATTCAAAAGGGTACATATGAGCATCAACAGCAAAAAGGAAATATGAGGTCTAAAAGCATTTTTTAAGGAAAAATAATAGAAATAACAAGTTTCTAGAACAAGTATGATAGAATATGAACAAAGACTAAGGGAAAGAAGGGGCCATCACAATCAACAAACTAAATAATTTTTTAGAGGAAAAGTGACATACAGATATAAACACTGCACTAAAAGGTGCCACCCGTCCAGAAAGCTTTACAAGTCAGTGAAAACATCAATTACTTGCTCAAGACCCTCCAAAAAAATAACAGAATGACCTCTAACAAAAGACCTACTGTTTGGACCACTTAACCATAGCTCTTCTAAAAAGTAAAACCGAGTCCTCACAGGCTCTATTATCCCTTTCCTTCCAAATAGCCCACATGCTAACTAGGGAGTCAGTCCATATGTCTTTGATTGTGGTTCTCCCTCCAAATGTCATGCCAAAACCAAAACCAAACCCCACTCAGCATAAGGACGAGAGCGGTGCACCAACAGCTGTATGGAAAAGGGCAGTGCGACAGAAGATGGCCAGGAGTCTAGTTGTAGCTTCTGTAGACAAATAATACCCATTAAACGAAGATAATCTCTGTCCTTTGAAGATTGTCAATTGTGTGGACCCATGCAACAGAAGCCATTTTAGGGCATGCATTGAACTTCTTCAAAACAATCCTCGAGGAGGGGGTGGGGTGGGGAGGGGAAGTTAGCTTAGATGGATCTGCCCTGAGGAAGAGGGGATTAGAAAGATATCATTGTTCAAGAGCCCGTAGCTTCTAAAACCCACGTTAGCTTACTATCCCCTAAACACTAGTACTAGATCAAGAGAGGTGCTAAAGCAAACCAATTCATGTAGAAACAATTTTGTCACAGCAAAAAAGATTTACTCCCCTGGATCACGAGTACAGTCACAACTACAATTTTTTTGCATGTAGAAGCAATTCATGTTCTACTTTCCTTAGTTCAGCAGTTCAAGCATTGTTTTTGTTCTAATAAGGGCTAAATTTATCAACTCCATTTGTAGAGTTGACTCCTAAAGACATGAAAAGTCTCCTTTCATTCAATACGGCTTTCTACAAACATATATATATATCTATAAATGAGATCAGAGCAAGACATTTAACCTTCTACAACCAAAAAAATACTAAACTATGATTAATGGTTACCGTGAATTATTAAGGATATTTCAATAAATATATATAGTAACAACTGTAATATATACAAGACACTAAATAGTAGATGCAAGGTCATGTAACAAATTAACTTAAACATATAGGTGTCCAAATGCCCCACTTCCTTCAACTAAAAGTATCACAGATGACTTATCATAACCAAATTGGAATGTATTTTGGAAATAAAGATTAGAGTACTGGGAAGCAATTTTAAGAGCTTAAATAATGAACCCTTGAATTAAAGCATCACAATTCTTAACCTCTTAATGTTAACATCAAACTAATATAAGCCCAGAAGAAAATAGTTGTAACAAAAAATCCAAAAGAAAACTTGCACAGAAAACTATAAGCTAGACAGATAGTTCTCAATCCTCCTAGTTCAGGCAACATAGAACATCGAAAGTTGAAAAGTGTCCTCGAGCAGACCTTACTAATTATCTGATTTTCAAGGCAAACACGATAATCATCTTCACCAAATGCAGGGGCACAATGAACAATTCCCGTACCACTATCATCAGTGACATAATTGTCTGCAATAACTCTAAATGCTGTGTCTGAAAGCTCCTTGAAATAATCAAATAATGGTTCATACCTGCAGAACATATTCGTTCTTAGAATTTTCAAGACTTCCAGACAGTGATACTTAAAAAAGTATGCAATTAAAACATCCAACGAAGTTTAGAACTATTAGAATTCAACAAGAAAATCTTTTAAAAACATTAATCAGAGCAAATTTGTCATAGCGGAGCCATCTTATAAAGCATTAATCCGGGAAAATATGTATTATATTAAACAATTTATATGTTATTTAATAATCATAAAACTACTAACTTCTTTCCAACTAGTGAAGCCCCAGAGACTTTTTCCAGCAACTCATAGGAATCGGCTTCTCCAGTTTTTCCACCTTTAGACTTGGTATTTGATTTCTTGGTGTCACCAGCAGGTCCATTAGCAGCATTTAATTTTGGCTTATCGGTGGGAAGTGCAGACAACCGAGATTCAGCAACCACATAAACTTTTCTTGAGTACTTGTTTCTAACCTGGGATTTACATCAGATATATTAAAATCACATAGGCGGTTCCTGGCATTTCGTTTTGACAAATCACATTTAAAGAAAACAGAGCTCCACTCCAAGAAAATGTGCTAGATGACTAACTTTTACGTAGACGAAATTCTCATTGACACAGAGGGCAAGATTACTAGGAAGGGTCCATGGGGTGGTTGTCCAAGCCACAAAAGCTGCATTGTCTGGATCCCCAACAATGGGAAAAGCCACCATTATTTCAGGGTCAGGGACATCCTGTCTCACTCAGTCCAAGAGTGTTAGAAATAATATATATTTCTTAAATGCCATATACAAACTAGATCCTAAAACACAAGAATAAGAAATAGACCTTGTAATTCTGACCAGCTTCGAAATTAGACAGTGGAGTCTTGCAACCAGTGCTATAAGGCATCACCTGCAAAACCAATTTAAGTAACAGACCAGCAGCAAAAGATCAAGAAGAGAGTTAAAAAACGAAAATAGAGAAGCAACCTTGAAGCCTCTGTATACAAGTCCCTTGCCATAAAGCTGGGAAAAAACCCACCAAACACTCTCCATAAAGCTCAAGTCCATTGTCTTGTAATCGTTCTTAAAATCAATCCACCTCCCCGTCCTAGTAATGACCTTCTCCCACTCCTCAACATACCTTGTAACAATGCTCCTGCACTCCTCGTTATAAACACCGATCCCCATCTTCAGGACATCATCTCTCTTCTTGACACCCAGCTTCCTGTCAATCTCATTTTCAACAGGCAATCCATGGCAGTCCCAACCGAAGCGCCGGGTGACGTGATGACCTCTCATGGTCTGGTAGCGGGTGACAACGTCCTTGATGGTCCCAGCCAAGATGTGGCCATAGTGCGGGAGGCCGGTGGCGAAGGGCGGTCCATCGTAGAATACGTACTCAGGTTGGTTCTCGGTGCGTTTCAATTGAGTCTTGAAGGCGTCAATTTGGGACCAGAACTCAAGAATCCTTTCCTCCTGGTTAGGAAAAGAGAAATCCTTGCCCTCACACACATCTTCCATGGCTGAAGTGTGAGGCGGCGAGCTTTTCTGTTTTGAAACAGGAACACGAGACGGAGGTTTAAGGAGTGTTGGAACTGGGGAAAGGAAAATGAATTGCCTAAATAGAAACTATATAAAACGAGCAACACATTCTAACCTTAATAAATAAAAGGTTCAATAGAAAATATAGAGAACTAATTTTTTTACTTCCAAAAAAATTGAAACATAAGGGTGAGTGTGTAATGGCAAAGGGGGCTAATGTCGACTCGTTTCACTACTTTGTTTTAACTTGGTGTAAATACCAATTTAAAATTCGGTCAAATTTATAATAAATAATTTTGACTATGAAATAAAAGTTAAAACTAAAAATTTTAAAGTTCTATTTGGTTGCACTTATTTCAGTATCATCATAATTGTTTTATGTTATATGTATCATCCTTATTAATTATTAATTAAAAAATAACAATAACAAAAATAAAAAAGTGAGAGAAAAATGAGGAAAAAAAAATAAAAAATAATTACAAAAACAAAAACAAAAAAATAAGAAAAAAGAAATGAGAGGAAAGAGACAAATAAAAGAAAATGTCCAAATCTCTTCGGCCCTTGATTTGTTTGAGTCTAGTGAATCCAAACTCATTTCAACATATGTGTAAACCTATAACTTTTTGTTTCAACCCAAATGCAATTAAAAATAGCCTACTTAACCAGAAGCTTAAGTCTTAAAGCTAAGTCAATCCAACTTCTATAAGAGCCAAAACGATGTCTATTTGATCTTAATACAAAAGGGTCATCTTAATATTTTTTAAGAAAATCTTATTAAATGAAGAAAGAGGATGAGTAGAAGCTTTGAAGCAACCATTCAATGAATAGAAGAACATGAGAAGATTACCCCGAGGGATTGTGAGAAAAGGGATTTTAGAGTAAGTTTTCAACCCCCTCGCGTGAACTTATGCACCAAAGAGAAAGAAGAAAAGCAAATTGAATTTCGCGAAAACAAAGAAAGTAAAGATACACCAGCGATATTTCGATCGTGAAAGAGATTGAAAACGATAATGAAAAGAGAAAAAATGAAGATTTAAAATAATTTCTCATCTAACTATGGTGTGTTATCCAAGGAAGAAAAAAGAAGTGAGGGCTTTGAAATAAAGTAATTGAGGCCATTGAAGACCACGATTAAGGTTAACCTAACTGAGAGAAAGGCTTGGGATTTGTAAGCTATTTAGGTTTTTCAAGGTTGAATAGACAGGAAGATTTTAAGAGAGAAATAAGATGTCTTGGTTTTTTCTATAAAAACTTGAAAAGTATGTCAACAAAAAGAAAGGAAAAAATATTCTTAGCATATAGATAATATGTTTTTTAAGCTTTAACATGAGAAAAAAGAAATTAAAATAGGATATAGCAAAAAATTATAGAAAAATCTCATCATTATTGAGTCAAAACTTATACTATTTTTGAGTTGTACTTACACTTCTATTATCTATTCATTTGAGAGAGTTACTCTTTAATTTTAAATTATAAATTTATTGGATTTATAAAAAATGTTGAAGAAATCTCTTAGGTGATTTTTAAGTGAGAAAACTCCTTAAATAGTAAGTTACACATTGTAGACAACTAAATTGTGTAAGAGTTTTGAGTATGGAAGTCCTTTAATCAGTGAATTGGATACCAAAATCAAATAGTTTGTATAAGTATTGTTTAAGATAGTGAAAAATCTCAAGCAAAAAGTTTAAGAAGAGAATATAGGCATATGTGCATAGTCGAAGCTTTACAAATCGTGTTAGCATTTTTTTCTTTTTTATTTATTAATATTTATTATATTTGACTTTTTTTTAATGTTAACAAATTTGATTGCATAATTGATTTACTTTTGAACTTTTAAGATTATTATAAAAAAAGAAAAAATTTAAAAGCTCAATTCATACCTATTGTTTAATATTGTTTATGTAAGCATTTAGAGTAAATATCTCAATACAAACAAATTTAGGTAAAGAACAATTCGAAAAATAGATTCTTGTTGTTTAATGAACACAACTATTACAGGGCTAGATAAGTCATGTACTACGAGATTCATAGAGTCCTCTTAGAAGACTCGTGCATCCCCTCTAAGAATATAGGAGATCAAGTAGTACTTAAAAGAGAAAATGAGTGAGATGGGAATGATGGGAAAAAAGTCCAATTAAACTTTAATGCTACAAATTCTTATATTGTGAATTGAATGAGTTTAATAAAATATTTATATGTGAATCCCCTTTAAGAATATAGGAGTGTAAGAAAAATTGATGTGCAAGTTAATTTACCCAATTTCATTAAATTCAACACATCTTAAGAAAAATAGAAAATTAAAGTTATATATCATTCAAAGATGATGCAACCATAACATAATTGAAAGATCCCATAGATAAAATCGTTAATTCTTTAACTCACTTCTTCTCTCTATTTAACTATTATGCACAAGAATTTTAGAAATTTAGATGATAGAAGCATAATATGAAAGAGAAATTTGTGTTTCTTTTATAGATAAGATAAGAGGGCAATGCATATTTATGATTATTGAATGTGTTGATAACTATTTTTCTATAATAATTATTACATTTCAATTCTCATACTATATAATAATTATATTTTATTTTGAGGCTACCTACTCCATTAAGGTATATTTTCCTTTCTAATGATTGTTTGTTATTTAGATATACATTTAGTTGGCTCCAACCGCTATAAATGGATGAGAAAAATAAAATGTTAGGTTAGTGGGTCATCCACTTAAATCACTTGTATTAACATTCTCCCACTTGGTCCATTAAACTGATTATGAAAATTATAATAATATATATACATTTTATACAAAAATATATTTGTTAAAACATGATCACGACAAAATAAGCCAATAACACTGAAATAACTTATATTAAAAATGTGAATTATAACAGTCACATGACTTTAATGTCATATTTTCTTCTATGTATCACACATTAATAACTCTTACTAATTCAATCCATAATGTCAAAGCAATTCCTATAGTTTGTCTTGTCAAAACATTTCTTGTTAATTAAATACTAAAATTGTACACCCATAATTAAAAAAATAAGAAAGAACATAAAAACCTTTAATGCATAAAATGTCAACTACAAAACTACTAAAATATCCATCGTCATATACATTATGGATTACTTAAAATAACCATCCTTATAATATATTCCGTATATGTCTTTGGAGACAGTCATTTAGTTAATGGATCGACAATTATAAGTGTAGTATTAATATTTTCAATTAAAACTTGTTTCTAGACTATTTATCTAACAACTAAGTGCTTTAAGTACATGTATTTTGGATCAACTGAAATATTTGTCATTCTTAGAGAAGAAAATAGTTGTGGTATTATCACAAAATATTCTCAGTGACTTGGCAATAGAATCGATAACACCAAGCCTTATGATGAAATTTTACAACCATAAAAACATGACTTGAGGCTTCAAAACATGTTATAAACTCGACCTCCATTGTAGATGAGACAATAATAAACTACTTTGCACTCTTTTATGAGATTGCCTCATTTGCTAGCATAAAGCCAAAACCTAAAATAGACTTTAAGCTATCAAGACAATTGTGACATGCCAAATGCTAATTAAGGCATAAGGGTGCGAAATATAGAAACAGATTACAAGTGTATGATAAAATTATATGCAGTAGAGTAAATCATTATAAATCTCTAACCAAAATATATGAGTTGCAATTACACATATACATAACTAAGGTCAGAAATGGCAAAATACAAAATATCAAGATGTTAAAAATACAAAAGGGCCACTCCAATCATTATGCGATTAGACTCATCAGAGTGCGGGATAAGTCATGCACTCAAGGGTTGTAGATCCACGGGATTTTTATAGACTTCAATGGGTAGGCCAGCGATCAGTTCCTCACTATCTTCCTCATCTCGGGGGAAGGTATGAAAAATGTGAGTTTCATACACTCAGTAAAATAGTATTTAAATAACATCATAAGATTTTAAAAGGTGAATAATTATATCTTAAATACTTACCATTAGGTCATATCAGCGTCCTATCTTACTTTATGAAAATAATTTTATTTATTAAAGGAAACATCATGTCATAATCATAACAATCAAAATCAAACATCACACTTGACAATAGAGAAAATCAAATGAATCATAAAATGCTCATATTTTCATGTCATGCTTCGTAAAGTCGTTTCAACTTCCATCTTAGAGGGAAGATACGAATTTTCGACTACCCATGTGGAATGACCAAATCAAATACAGATAATGACAATTTGTTCAGACATATTTCTGGCTTGCCAAACCATGATACGATCTATGATCATGGTCGTACCAACTACTATGGTCCTATTAGATATTCTATAATCACGATAGTATTTAGCAAAATATGATTCCTAACAGATATTTGCATCACTACTCTCGTTAGAGGGTACACCGTCATCCACAAAGAACGGTTTTTTCATGTCTTTTTAGACCAAATGGGGGAGGAAAAAACAGATACCACTCAGAGATAAAAAACCTGATGAGACACTTGATGGATTATGCATGTTAATATAGATACATATATTTTTCGAACCATTCAGGCTCATTCCCCTTTTCTTTATTTCTTTTTCTCTTTTTCTTTTTTTGTTATATTTTTTGGACAAATATGGTTAGATTCATATTATTTAATTTACATAAAAATCATCAAGTGCCTATGAAATCACATAGCATGCTGAAATAAAAAATAACTTACTTTATTAAAACTACTAAACATGGAACATGCAAAACACAAAACACAGACTTAGTAATTAATTTTTTAAGAAATACTTCTTAAGATATTTAAGAAAATAATAAATTTTTTACCGAACCCTCAAAGTTTCCTACACCGTTCTTTTTGATTTTTTCTCATTCTCTCTCTAAATCACTCCCCCTCTGTCTAAACTCTTGAAAGATAGAAGAATGAAATAGAAGTGATGAAGAAATGGAAAAAAGGGTCCCTATTTATAGAAAATAGGGACTGTCGGATTTGTGTCAAGTGGCAAAATCCAATGAGAGTGCGAAAAATGAAGGAAAACTTCCTCCACCAACTGTGGCACACCGCCCAAAGCGAAGCATGATGCCCATGGGGGGAG